AATTTCTGCAAAAAGACTATAATTCACGTGATTTCTGCTGCATTCTGCATTTTGCAGAAAATCATCGTCCCTGATCTCGCATAACCTATGTTTGTAACCCTGAGCTAATTCGATCTCATGTTAGCCAAGTCTCTCCCACGGCTGCAACACATACTACTGATCGTTCGTATAGTATCCACATGACTAATGCTGATTGGCTTAACATCGAATGCACATAGAAATTCCTTTAAATAATTACACACTATGAAAAACTCCTCGGCACAACTAACTTACAGATTTTTTGATCTTCTAAATGCAATATCTCTCTAAATATACGTTTGACTAATTTTTATACATGCATCCTGTCGCGAGAGGTCTGGCCGTATTGATTAACGTATCAACTCCCTTTTTTTATTTGTAAGACCCTGAAGAATTGTGATAGTATATTGAAAACACATGTACGTACGGTGCAGGAAATTTAAAAGCCTTAATATTCTACGTAGAGGTGATGCAGTAGCACACCGAAAATAAAATTCTCTTGGCATAAAAACAATATATAAGTTATACTGTATAATCAAAAATGAACTAATTAATTACGGGTATTACAGAAACATGTATTGTATAAATAAATATGTATGTAATGTATAAATTATACATACATATTTCACAAATTCTACATTACGCATTTTTTCAATTATCGCCGTTATTACCCAAATAAACAATTCGGCGTAGCACCAAACTCTAACAATCGCTTCTGAGTGTTAAAAGTGTTAAATTAAAGGAAATTAAATATAAACTTTAATTGCCAATTTATCGCTAATTTTTAATTGCTAATTTTTTTCAATTTTTTAATTATTAATAACGTTAACAATGTCGATGGAAAAACATCTAAAAATAAATTCATTGTTATCGTTCTGTAAAAATAGTCAAAACCGTTATTTTTATAAAATCATCTTACTTTTAATAATAATATTATCTATCTCCACATTTATTTTAGTGAATTTTTTTCTTTTAACAAAGTATGATGATGACCTTCCAATTAATGAGTGGGAAAATGCTAGTTGCAATTTACCTGAATTACCTGACATAGTTTCTCACTATCATACTTTTGTGGATATTCGACGAGGTTTGTATATTAATATAATTGATATTGGAACGCAAGCAAGATTTATTTATTTAAAAAACCATTTTCTTAGGCCCTGGAATAGGTAACTTGATATACAATAAGGAAACAAACGCTCAATATGTTAATGTCACAGGTTGTCCAAATGAGACAGAATTCAAATATCATACTAAAAAAATGGAAAAGAATCGATGGGATACATGGAATCAAGAAAAAGATGGACTGCTCAAACTCGAGGGAAATTATATTTTTCTTCAATGCAATAATAATTCAGGTTCTAGTGTAATACTAAACGAGATTAGAAAACCTGACGCCGAATATGACGAGAAACTTAAAGGTATTTGCTTTATAAAAGTTGTTTAAAATTTTTATGCAGACTTCCTAGATAATCTTTTCGATAATTTCCGGTTAAAATTTGTTAGAATATATTAGTTATGTATTACAGTGGTGATCATCAGTATTAATTTTACTATAAAATTAGTAGTTATAGGATAAGATAAGATATTCAAATTTAGTTAGCATTAGTGTTTCGGGCGAAATTTCCGAAATAGGGCGAAATATATTTCGCCCAAAAGCCTGAAATCCGATAATTCCGAAACTGGCGAAATT